CCCCCATGCCCAGAGAGCTTCTTTCTCGGGAGCTCCAAGCAGCACGTGGAGCGAAACGTCGGACATTGTGCCACGTGGTAGTACAACCTGAGAGCACCAGCCAGCCAATTTTCCCTTTCAAGTAATAAACCAGGCTCGATACCCGCTTAGCTTAAATGATCCCGCAAAATAGGGCACATTTGACACGATTTTGGGTTATAGACCAGGGGGGGGGTCGGCAACCTTGCGGCTCTGGAGGAGCCTGCGGTGGCTCTTCGAGGTGCCGCTTTCGTGACGTCGCCTTATCAAGGTGGGCCACCGTCTCGTATTCATCCACGTGCATTGCGGATCTCGAAACTTTGGGTCTTTTTTTCTGTTTGTTACCGAATTAGAAATAAAAAAAATGGCTCTTCTTTTTATTTTGGTTGCAAACCGCTGTTTTTAGAGACGTTGGTTTTCTTTGAGGGCTAATCAGTGGATCTTTAGCCTTGTGCTTACAAACTGAATGCACACATTTATATATTTACCCTTATTGAGGACACACAGCTCAGCTGTTCAGGGTTATTGACTTAGCGGTGGAAGTGTTGGCATAGGGTCATATTTCATTTCAAATTAGCATAGTAAAAGGTTACGTAGGAAAACATTACCAAGACACAGCAGTCACCATAGCTGCAGTGGGAGCTCTGTGATTTTGTCCGCTATCAAAGTAATGAATATATAATAATGATATTTTCTCGATATAAATTAAGCTCGTCATTAGTTAATTGGGGTATTGTGTCGTGCGTCGAACGGGGGACCCATTGTTTGTTTATGCCGGCAGAGTTGCTCTTGCCAATACCAACTGGTAATCCATCGCACACAGAGCTGGCTCTGCTGATGAGACTCAAAAAGGTGGAAGCCCGCCCAGAGTTTGCCTGCTTAAACAAATGCAGCTTTAGATTCATGGGCGCGGACAGCTGATGTTTATGGCCTGATTTTTTTTGTGTCTTAACATTTTTTATTTCACACCAACCGATGTTGATTTGTGGTGCCTTTAGTGGCGGCTGCGTAAGTGGTTCGCGCATTGTTGCTCTAAACGATCCGAGTTCAGTTCCCGGCCACAGCTAAAATCTGCGTGATATCTGATATCTGAAACAGCAGACCCGTCACCCCTCCCTACGCACTGACCAGCGTGGTGAAGTATGATTATATAAACCCGCTCTCGTGACCGACACATATCGTGGTGAGGCCACCATCATCATCATCATCATCGTCCAGCAGTGGATTGACAAAGGGCTGCAAATAATTCGAATAATTATTATGATCGTATTAATTCTCCACGACAGTGCATAATAAGTTGCATACAATAGTAGAATTCGGGTGAAATTGGTGATTTGCAAAGTCAATTATGCGCAAATGAAAAAAATATCGAACGGACATTTGCATATTACCGATGATGTCCCAGCATGCCCTCTGAGCCTCAGAGAGTGGTTCGGGAATTAACGTTTATTTAGCTTCGTCATTAACCATTTAAAAGATCATATCATCGGGCAAACAAAAGAAAATCTGCATCTACCATGTTCCTTGCATGGGCTTGTTTAGACTGTCTTTGTAGAGATAATTTAACTACCTCGCCTGGTATGCAAGAGCCTGTGGGTTCTAACCCGACCCTGACGCCTATTTTATATTTGGAGTTTGCAATATTCTCCCCGTGGTCGCGTGGATTTTTTTTTTGTGTACGGGTCCTCCGGTTTTATCCCTCCGCAATGAGAAACGGGCATTTGAAGTATCTGGCTTGCGATAAATTTCCACATGGTGACGAGCCACTTCGTTGAGCTATCATTTGTGGCCAGGTCACTTCTGAAAAAGAGATACACAGCCCAGTGGCCTTTGGCTGGTAAACATTTTTTTTTTCAAAAGTTTAGTTTAAGCGTTGGGCCCAACTAAGCAAAATGCTGCCGGTAAACGTCGTGATCCCTTTCACCATTTCTCGCACGAGGACGGCAGCAAACGGCAGCAAACTGCAGTCCTCGTGGGCCACGCAAGCCTCCGCGCGTCTCCTTCCCCATCGCCCGATCTCTTCCGTCCGTAGGGTCAAACCTAAAGTCAACCGATTTGCACTCGACTGGACGTGCCCGATGCTCGGCGGTCGCTCGGCAACTTGCGCACTGCCGGACGATCGCGGCGACCTCGGCCGATGGTTTACGAGTGACGCTCGCGCGAGTTCGCGGGCGGGGTTGTCCCTCGCTCCGTGCGTGGGGTTCGGGTCTCCATGTGCGGCTGAACCGACTGCTACCCAAACGAATTCGCTCCACCGTCGTGGATTGAATTCGCCCGACATGCGGCTACGCGGTCGGACGCGGGGGCAACGTTGTTGTGCACGCGCACGTGCGTGCGTTCTCTATGGTTAGCGCCCTGCGCTACGAACCCGGCGACCCGAGTTCGATTCCCGCTCACGGCCAACACCGGTGACGATTATCTGAACCGGTCCTGGGCCTCCCCTAGGTCGACTCAGCCTCAAATGAGTACCTGGTGCGATGTATAGACATCGCCACTAGGGAGACAAAGGCAGCCAGGCGTGGTGTTGGCCACCGACCCCCTCCTGTGCCGTGCCGGCCTTCATAGGTGCTCGCTAACAGCACTTGCCCCTACAGTCTGACAGGCTACATGGGGGATCTTTGTCTTTGTATGGTTAGCTCGTTGCGTTACGAAGCCGGCGACCCAAGTTCTATTCTCACTCACGGCTCACACCGGTGACGATTATCTGAACCGGTCCGAGGCCTCCCCTTGGTCGATTCAGCCTCAAATGAGTACCTGGTTCAGTGTGTAAACATTGCCACTGGGGAGACAAAGGCGGCAGGGCGTGGTGCTGTCCACACCACCCCGTCGTGCCTTCATAGGTGACAGCAGGTTGCCCCAACAGTCTGTTACGGCTATACGGGGGATCTTTGTCTTTGCATGCACTGCTCGGCAGACAGCTGTCTCACTCGGACACAGTACACGCACACATACACAGAGATACATCCAGAGATGATACACTGAGATACAATGCTGCTGTGTGTTCTCTATGCACTGCTCGGCAGACAGCTGTCTCACACGGGCGGTCTCGCTTTGCGCGTGCCCTTCTTTTGGAACGCATCTCCCTTCTACCGCGTAGAGCGAGGGACACATGCACACGTTGTGACGGTGAAATGTGTAGTGACATAGAATGGGTCACTACGGAGCGTAGCGCTGGTTACTGGTAGAGAGCGGGATCGCGGGTGCAATATCCCGGTCTACCAGCAGGGCAGGTGAAGTCTGCCACTGCAGCGCGTAGCGTCGGACGCCGGCAGTGAAGGGCATTTGAGGATACAGCGGCCGGTCTGCCAGTAGGTCACGCGATAGGCACGGATGTAGGGTAAAAGTGACAGAGGGAACAGGTGGGGCAGAACCAGAGCCTTCTGGTGGGTTTCAGAAGGGGGCGTGGCCGAGGGCGGAGCCAGGCCACGCTGAGGAGGATAAAAGGGAGGCCCCGACGCTGGGTCTGGGCTGCTGCGGTTTGGGAATGGAACCCGTCGTCTTCGCAAGTCTTCACCTCCTCGTCGATGTTGGGTCAGGCAGCGTGCCGGCTGTCCTGACCCGTACATAGTTATCCCCTATACTGTGGGAGGTGTATAATAAACGTGGATGCCTCCTACTGGTAGTGTCTCTGAATTGCCACACTACATATGTGACAACGTTGCCAGTCCAGTGGCTGTTGCGACTCCGTTTAGCGAATTCCAGAGAATCCTTTCTCGTCTTGCAAACAACAACAACAACAACAAACAATCGCCGTTCACCACGAAGTGGCGGTGGCGACACCACGCCGCCTGTGCCATGCTAGGTGCACTTCGTCTTGCAAAGCCGTGTCTCTCCACCCTCGCGTCACAATGCCTGCCCCAACCCTCCTCGCCCTTTCTCCTCCTCCTCCTCCACCACAATCGCCATCGGCCCGTTCTCCTTCATCCCGAGTGGCTGCTGACAAGTCCGAGAAGAGGTGGGACGAGCTCGAGTGTGTTGTGGTGGTGGTGGTGGTGTTGTTGTTGTGTGGGTGGGAGAAGAGGAAGGTGAGAGTTGTCATGGGAGAGATGGAGAAGGAGGGGGGGGGGAGAAGGATGAGTGGGAGGGAGGGAAGGGAGGAGGTTGGTGGGAGGGAGGAGCAGGGTGGGTGGGAGGGAGGGGGGGCCAGGGTGGAAGGGGTGAGTAGGGTGGGAGGGAGGGGTGAGTAGGGTGGGTGGGAGGGTGGGAGGGAGGGGTGAGTAGGGTGGGTGGGAGGGATGGTGGGAGGGGTGAGTAGGGTGGGTGGGAGGGAGGGTGGGAGGGAGGGGTGAGTAGGGTGGGAGGGAAGCAGGGAGGGAGGGGTGAGTAGGGTGGGTGGGAGGGAGGGAGGGGTGAGTAGGGTGGGTGGGAGGGAGGGAGGGGTGAGTAGGGTGGGAGGGGTGAGTAGGGTGGGAGGGGGGACCAGGGTGGAAGGGGTGAGTAGGGTGGGTGGGAGGGAGGGGGGACCAGGGTGGGAGGGAGGGGTGAGCAGGGTGGGAGGGAGGGGTGAGTAGGGTGGGAGGGAGGGGGGAGTAGGGTGGGAGGGGTGAGTAGGGTGGGAGGGAGGGGTGAGTAGGGTGGGAGGGAGGGGTGAGTAGGGTGGGAGGGAGGGGTGAGTAGGGTGGGAGGGAGGGGTGAGTAGGGTGGGAGGGAGGGGTGAGTAGGGTGGGAGGGAGGGGTGAGTAGGGTGGGAGGGAGGGGTGAGCAGGGGTGAGTGGTGAGCAGGCGAGAGAGACTCCGAAGTTCTCCAAAACCACTCCCACACCCTCCGGTACCCCCCCCCCCCGCCTCCTAGCAGCGAGTGCAAGCAGAGAGTGAGAACAACAGCGTGGAGGCGGAGGAGAGCGAAGAGAGAGAGAGCAGGGCGGGGGTGGGTTGAGAGGCAGACGCCTGTGGATTTGGTGGTGGTGGTGGTGTTTGGTGGTGGTGTTGCCTGCCGGGCGTGGTGCTGACCACCCCCATCCCCCTCGTGTGTCCCGTGCCAGCCCTCGGAGGTGCCACTCGCAAAACAGCACGTGCCCCCACACCCCCGAACGCTCTGCCAAGGGAGGCGACACGGGGGGTTCTGTCTTGTTGGCGGGCTCGGTGTGTGCTGGGGAGCGACGCGGCTGGAACCAGGTGGTGGTGGTGGAGGAGGAGGAGGAGCGGTCACATTACCGGTGAGCATCAACTCTGAGCAACTTTACCACGAACGGGCGGACGTGATTCACGCACGGGCAAGTGACGGGAGGGGGCCCCAACCGCACAGCGGCGAGCCACGTGCGTCGTGAGTTCAGGCGAGTGGGGTGGTGGGGGGGGAAGGTGTTGAGCAGGTGGTGGGGGGAAGGTGTAAAGCAGGTGGTGGGGGGAAGGTGGAGAGCAGGTGGTGGGGGGGAAGGTGTAGAGCAGGTGGGGGGGGGGGGAGGTGTAGAGCAGGTGGGGGGGGGGGGGGTGTAGAGCAGGTGGTGGTGGGGGGAAGGTGTCGAGCAGGTGGTGGTGGGGGGAAAGTGTCGAGCAGGTGGTGGGGGGAAGGTGGAGAGCAGGTGGTGGTGGGGGGAAGGTGTCGAGCAGGTGGTGGGGGGAAGGTGTCGGGCAGGTGGTGGTGGGGGGAAAGTGTCGAGCAGGTGGTGGGGGGAAGGTGTAGAGCAGGTGGTGGGGGGGGGAAGGTGTAGAGCAGGTGGTGGGGGGGGGGAAGGTGTCGAGCAGGTGGTGGGGGGGGGGGAAGGTGTAGAACAGGTGGTGGTGGGGGGAAGGTGTAGAGCAGGTGGTGGTGGGGGGAATGTGTAGAGCAGGTGGTGGGGGGGGGAAGGTGTAGAACAGGCAGTGGTAAGTGTGGCCGGCGCACCACCAGCAATTATTGCCCAAGCTCCGCCATCCTCTCTGTATACAGTATATCTAAAACGGCGTTGTCATCGGCCATTCAATTCGCGTGCAAGAGGGAGGGCGACGTTGCTGCAATGGAGGTTTTAGTCTGCGGCTTGGCTCGGCACGCCATGGGTTGGTGAGTTTGTTTGCTTTTTTAACGCCATCCGTGTGGTGATCCATCAACCCTCGCTGCTGCCTCCACACGACGATGGACGAGTTCAGACTGTCAGGTGCGGCAATGGAGCCACCCAGCTCGTGAGTGGGGTTGAGTTCCCTGCTGTGCATTAGGGTGGGTTCCCTGCTGTACCTTGAGTTGAGTTCCCTGCTGTGCCTTGGGTTGAGTTCCCCGCTGTGCGTTAGGGTGAGTTCCCTGCTGTGCCTTGGGTTGAGTTCCCTGCTGTGCGTTAGGCTCCCTGCTGTGATCTGGGTTCCCTGCTGTGATCTGGGTTGGGTTGCCTGCGGTGCGTCTGGTGTCTGAAATGTGCACCGGTGTTGAATTCGATTCCAAGTTCACTTGTTCCACGGAAAATCCCTTCTTAGCCAGTTACCCAGCTATCGTTTTTTTTGCGAGCGGATATCCCGCGATGCCATCGGCACCGAACAGGAATAAACATCATCATCATCATCGATATCTATATAGAGGTGCAGGCAACATCGGGACAGACCAGAACTTGAAACACAGTACAGCAGTAGTACATTATGTACACGTGCAGCCCGTTTGCCAATCCACTGCTGGATGAGGGCCTCTGGCAGGCTGTGCGTGTCCTGGGTGTTACTTGAACATAGGGTACAGCACTGCACTTGGCACGAGTCATTGGGCGTTCATCTTCTTGGTTATTTCGGTAAAGTCACCACGTAGAATGGAAATAAAATGATAAAAATAAAACATAATAAAATAAAATTCTCACGACGTTTCGGCCACAACACAAGTGGCCTTCTTCAGGTGAAGAAACGCAGGTCTGTCCAGAAGACAGCGCTTGAAATTTCAAGCTCTGTCTTGCTCTGTCAAGCTCTGTCTTGTGGACAGACCTGTTTCTTCACCTGAAGAAGGCCACTTGTGTTGTGGCCGAAACGTCGTGAGAATTTTATTTTATTATGTTTTATTTTTATTATTTTATTGTTTCCCTTCTACGTGGTGACTTTACCGAAAGAACCAAGAAGATGAATCCCTGCAGTCACGAGAGCTTTAAATCGAAATTCATTGGGCGTTGTTGAAGGGACCACGGAGCATCGACATGGGAACATAGAAGTACAGTACAAACAATAGATTATTTTGACTGCAATGCCCCATGCTGACATGTAGACCCACTAGTAACTTAGGACCGTGGTTCTGTATTAGAACGTTTCTTTTTTGAAAGAGATCAACACATTCGCCGATAACACCGTGGCCCTTTCCTCATAGCACACACGTGCGATGGGAACGATTTTGTATTTTATTAACGGGTGACGTTACGGCAATGGGCCGGGTTCCTTCCTCGTTGTTTCCAAGAGCTATGGGAAAGGAAACCCGTTGCTCTTGACCCCTGCAGTTCGACGGGCGTGTTGAGTTTATATTGGTCCGGGTGCTCGTGCGCCCAAAAACCCGTTGAAGGTATCTCTCTAGCGCCTTCCGCCGCCGATTTTAGCCGTGGCTGGGAATCGAACCCCCCGCCCCCCCCCTCGGAGCAGGCTCGAGAGGGCACGCTTCCCAGCAACCACTTCCACCCACCTCACAGATCTACGTTAAAGGCCACCGGATGTTAAGGTAGCCGTGGTCGGGAATCGAACTTCGGATGGTGGGATGTGCGGTGGTGGCATCGCTGGGTTCAGAGTGCGCAGGGGTTGTTAACCGCTTTGAGCGGCCGCTCCAACGGCCTCGCGAAACCCCTTCACAGATCTGGGTGACGACTGCTGTACCGAGCGAGCGATAACGAATGTCAATGAGCCCAGGCCGCGTTAATCGACGTACGCGCGCCGACGGATTGATTACCGTTACGGCTTGTCAGCCCGGTTTAGTGTCTCAGCCTGAACTGTCTGCTTAATGAAAACGAGCGCTAAATTCGCCTCGGAAGGTCGGGATTTTAGCTGAGCTTATTAAGCCGAGCTCAAAATTCCTGCTCCCCCCCACCACAACCACCCCCACCTGAATACCTCTCACACACTCAGCCCACCCATCTACCAATCCACTCACTCTTACTCACTCATCCACCCAGCCAACCATCAATCCACTAAACATAACCCATCCGTCTACTCGTCAAGCCGCCTGCTCACCCATCCACTTACAAACTCACCCACCTACCTAAGACATTCGCTCGCTCACCGACTCAACTAACTCATCCACTCACCCGTTCATATGCTCACAAGCTCACTCGCCCATCCACTCCCACACACTCACCCATACACTCGCCTATCCACTCGCCTATCCGTTCGTCCACCTATGCCACCCAACTCACCCACCCAACTCACCTGCACAAAGACAAGCTCACTCGCCCATCCACCTTCCCACCCACCCACGCATCCGGTCACCGAACTCACCCCCACACACCCAACCACTCGCAAACGCACTCACCCGTCCACCCAGCCACCCACTCATCCCGCCACCCATCCACTCACAAATGCACTGCCCCGTCCACTTACCCAGCAGTCTGCCCGCACGCCAGCGTTGCTGTGAAATTCAAAGAGGCAGGATAATAAGAGCAGGAATGTCGCTGAGAAGCCATCGCTGTCGGAGGTGGCTGTGCGGCTCGGGAGAGCGTATTCCTCAGACAGACCCCTGAGGTGGTGGGCACCGCCGCCGAGGGCCTGGGTTCGAATCCAAGTTTCAACGCCTCTGCCGATTCAACTGAGGTCCTTGGAGCCGAGCGAGTTTGGTGGTGGCCTCGGCGGCCTTTGGCGTAGACAATAACAAACGGCCGAACAAAACAAAACAAAAAAACCTCTTTGCTAAATGTCTCTTAGCGTTTTCACGCGAGGCCACTAAAGCTGCGCTCACGACCACGATAAAGTTGATTCTTGCACACACGATTCCACACGGGTATCTTTGTAGACACCTGTCTGAAATCGGGTCATCCGTGAGGTCTCACGGATGACCTGGCACTCGCCACAGGAACGGAATGCCCGCCAATGATTTAGGGACCACCCATTGCGAAAGACAATCAGGGCTCTTCGTTTGAGATTGAAGATGCCTGATTGTCGGACGTTTGAAAACCAAATTTGGAGCCGCCGTTTATTTATTTCATTGCTTACACAGCTTACTGTGCCCCCCATTACGGCGTGTTCATCTTGTTCAAGCGAGGAGGCCGCTGCGTTTATCTGATTGCTCCTGCGAGCGGGCGGGCAGGCAGAGGGCCTTTTGGCTCTCTGCCGGATTTCGCGATAAGCGTCCACATGCAATTTTTTTTTACTAAAACTCTTTTTTAGTTGACTAGGTAAGGCCCCACTGAGCTACAGTGAGGGAAAAGAGTATTTGATCCCCTGATGATTTTGTGCGTTTGCCCACTGACAAAGAAATGATCAGTCTATAATTTTAATGGTAGGTTTATTTGAACATTGAGAGACAGAATAACAACAACAAAATCCAGAAAAACGCATGTCAAAAATGTTGAAAATTGATTTGCATTTTAATGAGGGAAATAAGTATTTGACCCCTCTGAAAAACATGACTTACTACTTGGTGGCAAAACCCTTGTTGGCAATCACAGAGGTCAGACGTTTCTTGTAGTTGGCCACCAGGTTTGCACAGATCTCAGGAGGGATTTTGTCCCAGTCCTCTTTGCAGATCTTCTCCAAGTCATTAAGGTTTCGAGGCTGACGTTTGGCAACTCGAACCTTCAGCTCCCTCCACAGATTTTCTATGGGATTAAGGTCTGGAGACTGGCTCGGCCACTCCAGGACCTTAATGTGCTTCTTCTTGAGCCACTCCTTTGTTGCCTTCGCCGTGTGTTTTGGGTCATTGTCATGCTGGAATACCCATCCACGACCCATTTTCAATGCCCTGGCTGAGGGAAGGAGGTTCTCACCCAAGATTTGACGGTACATGGCCCCGTCCATCGTCCCTTTGATGCGGTGAAGTTGTCCTGTCCCCTTAGCAGAAAAACACCCCCAAAGCATAATGTTTCCACCTCCATGTTTGACGGTGGGGATGGTATTCTTGGGGTCATAGGCAGCATTCCTCCTCCTCCAAACACGGCGAGTTAAGTTGATGCCAAAGAGCTCCATTTTGGTCTCATCTGACCACAACACTTTCACCCAGTTGTCCTCTGAATCATTCAGATGTTCATTGGAAAACTTCAGACGGGCATGTATATGTGCTTTCTTGAGCAGGGGGACCTTGCGG